CCCCCTGGACCCCGCCCACCCCTGGCACACACCCTCCCTGCCCCAGACAGCGGGGCAGCTCAGGGACCCAGCCTGACCCAGCCCAGCCCAGCCCCAGGCATCACAACCCTCCCAGGCCGGGAGCAGAGGCCGCGGGGTGACAGGAACTCGGCTCAGCGCCCACGGGCAGCACCCTCGGTGGCTGCTTATTGCACAGACCGTTCTTCCTGCAGTCTGGCGCTGGGGAACCACCCCCAGAAGACACCTCCCAGAGCCACCTGTGGGGCCACTCGAGCCCCCAAATACTCTCTGGGAAGAGATGTTTCCAAAGTAAACCCTGGTTTGGCCCGTCCGGTGTGGCCTGCAGGCTCTCGGGTCTCGGTGGATCCAGGCTGCAGAGGGTGCCCCGAGGGGATGGCCCAGAGCCCACAGCACTTCCCACCTGGCCCCCAAGAGGCCTGAGCCCCCAGTAGAGCCCGAGATCAGACGAAATTTCGGGGCTTAGGGGCCTTGACCTTGGCCTCAGGTTTCCTGCGTGTGTGGGCTGCAGGACAGACTGCCAAGAGGCCACCAGCATTGCCACCTTTATTCACGGTCCCGGGCTCAGCACAGGGAAAGGGCCCTGGCGACCCAGCACAGCACAGACCGGACCCCAGGGCCCTGCCCCTGCTGAGGGGTTGTTATGGCCGCAGGGCACAGACACCAGGGCCAGCACCCTGTGAGGCACTGGGGGGGGGGGGGGGGGGGGGGGGGGCCCCAGGCCTGGAGGAAGGGGCCAGGCTGGGCAGTGAGGGGGTGCAGGGGTCGGGGTTATTTGCTCCCATGTGTCCAATGTGGGGGACCCAGGCTGGGTGTGGGTGGGGCCGCCCTGTCTTGCCTTCTGGCCACCTCAGAGTCAAACCTGGACGAGTCCCCAGGCCCTGGAGGTGGCCAGGGGTCGGGGCGGGGGCAGTGGGGGAGACAGGAAGGGAGGAGTCAGGGTCAAGATCCTGGGGGCAGGCCCGGGAGTGCGCGGGGCGGGAGGGCGGCCCTCCGGGGACTGACGCCAGGCCCCCGGGCTTTACGACTTCTTGGCATCCTGCGAGCTGCGGCGCTTCAGGTCGCTCAGGTCGATGGGCTTGAAGGCTGTGCGGGGGCAGCTCGGTCGGTCAGTGCGCAGGAGGCGGCTCCTGCCAGGTCCTGCTCCCACCCCACCAGCTTCTCCAGTCCGGAAACAGGAAGAGGTGGGCTTTCCTGTCCCGCCCCTCACTCTTCTGGCTGGTTAGGGACCTTCTCCGCCAGGCCCCGCCCCTCACTCTTCAGGCTGCTTAGGGACCTTCCCCGCCAGGCCCCGCCCCCTCTCTTCTGGCTGGTTAGGGACCTTCTCCGCCAGGCCCCGCCCCTCACTCTTCAGGCTGCTTAGGGACCTTCCCCGCCAGGCCCCGCCCCCTCTCTTCTGGCTGGTTAGGGACCTTCTCCGCCAGGCCCCGCCCCTCACTCTTCAGGCTGCTTAGGGACCTTCCCCGCCAGGCCCCGCCCCCTCTCTTCTGGCTGGTTAGGGACCTTCTCCACCGGCCCCGCCCCCTCTCTTCAGGCTGGTTAGGGACCTTCCCCGCCAGGCCCCGCCCCCTCTCTTCTGGCTGGTTAGGGACCTTCCCCGCCAGGCCCCGCCCC